ATGTATGTAATGTATGTAATGTATGTAATGTAATGTAATGTAATGTATGTATGTAATGTATGTATATATGTATGTATGTATGTATGTCTGTATGTCTGTCTGTCTGTATGTATGTATGTATGTATGTATGTATGTATGTATGTGTATATATATATATTTACCGTATTTATTTATTTATGTATTTTTTGTTTGTTTATGTATCTTTTTCTTTATTTATCTATTTACACTACATGATATGTATCCAATGTTGTAAATCATCACTGTTTTGACCCCCTAAGTCATCAACTAGTCGAGTTATGACTCCCCTCGACCAGGATGAAGTGAAGGGTGGAAAACCGGTCTTTGAGAAGGCCGACCACGAAAAGTGCCATGGCAACAACACGATTTCGGGACGAGTTGACCCCAAGTCGTGGACATTTTGATGGGAACTCCTTGGCATCACCGCTGCATGCTTGAAGATGCTATCCACAATGGTTTTTCATGTTTGGCACATGGTGCCATGTCCGAAAATCTTGGGACACTGAAACCCAAATCCAGTGGCTTTTTTTTATTGGTTTCTGAATGTTTCTGATCATTTTCCCAATGAACAGTGCCATAAATGATGGCATGCAAGCCCATTTTCAGACACGCCGTGCCGTGGATCAAGACCAAGGAGAACCTACATCCTGTTCAACGAAGAGAAAAAGACTTGGAGGCCGTCGAAACCCATTTGGCAGTGTGTCAAAACCTTGTACCCCTGGTGAACATCAAAATAGCTGGTAAATGGATGTTCATCCCACTAGAAAAGGTATTAATAGGTATTGATCCATACCCATTTGTCAACGTGAGCTTGCTTGAATCGACTAACCCGCCGATGTCCCCTCGCTTTACTCGACAGCTCCTCGTGGAGTGCATTTTTTTTTGCGTTTGGCAAACCCAGCAGCCACTGGATTCCAAGTGTCAACGTGATGTTTCAACGGAGGGAAACATATGAATTATGAATTATCAATATATCATAAGCCAGTCATATATGGGATATGCCCACTTATACACACACACATATATATATACGCGAAACGCCTGGGCTTTGCCCAGGCTTTGCAGCGTAGAGGTTTCCCATTCCCAAACAAATGTTGATGCAACTTCTTCACAAAATTCCTATGGGAACAACAACAAAGGTACTAGGGAATATTAAACTCCCACCCCCGTTAAACCTTAAATTCCTATGGGAAAAACAACAAAGGTACTAGGGAATATTAAACTCCCACCCCCGTTAAACTTTACATTCAATTGGGAAGATCAACAAAGGTACTAGGGAATATTAAATTCCCACCCCTGTTAAGCCTTAAATTCCTATGGGAAAAACAACAAAGGTACTAGGGAATATTAAACTCCCACCCACGTTAAGCTTCTACATTCGTTGAAGATCTTCAATAAGGGTTTAATTCTCCCACCCCCGTTAAACTTCTACATTCATTGAAGATCTTCAACAAGGGTTGAATTCTCCCACTTCCGTTAAACTTCTACATTCATTGAAGATCTTCAAAAAGGGTTTGGTGATGATGATGATGGTGATGATGATGATGATGATGATGCGTCGCCTGTCGTCATTGCGGGTCCGGGCAAAGCCCAGGCATTTGCCGTATATATATATAGATAGAGGAGGTATGTGTATGTATCTATATATATATATATACGCACATATTTGGTACCCCCCTGAAACCTACTTTTTTTTTACATATTCATCAAATGGTTCGGACAAAAGGGGGTACCTTATACACACGCACCATCCAGAATGCATTCTCTGCTTAATCGATCTAAGATTCCCCCAGGACTCCTGAGCAAATCTTAGATCTTAGATCTTAGATTTAAATCTAAGATTCCCCAAAGACTCCTGAGCAAATCTTAGATCTTAGATCTTGGACTTAAATCTAAGATTCCCCAAAGACTCCTGAGCAAACCTTAGATCTTAGATCTTAGATCAGGGAAAGAATGCATTCTGACCGCATTCCTGCATTTACGTTATCTTTCGGTCTGTATGCCTTACTTCCTTTCTCGCTTCTCCAGTGCCGCTTTTTGCTTTCAGCAACCAACGCATCCACTCCTTCCTCTCTTTCTATCATTAGCCTAATTTTAGCTGAAGGGCCACTGGCTATCGAATTGTCAGAAAAGGTGCTAGTGTTGTTCGTGTCTTCCACCCAGCAGTAGTACACATCAACTTGCAGCGTTGGCTGTCCTTCGAGTTAACTATGTCAGACTTGAGATTTTCAAGTCTGAACCCTTTTCAGACTTGAGATTCTCAAGTCTGGATCTTGTCAGGCTTGAATCAGCACATCTCCAGAAATGTCGTGCAAACATGTGCAGCAGCCTTGCGTGACCCCTTTGACACTTGCTTCTATCTTAGAGCTGCGCCTAGCCCTGCACTCTAATTTGAAATCATGGCAATTCCAGTGTTGGGTACTCGTAGCGTCTCCGTGGAAGGAAATCAGGCTGTAGTGGTGTTGGAAGGCTGGGGGGCGAGGTGGATCGGTTGCTCGACCAGTGCCACCACTACAAGCTTTCGTGAACAAAGTCTTGGAGGGCAAGTTCCCCATCCACGAATCCCGATGACCAGTCCTCAAGAAGCATGTCGCCGCAATGATCTGCAATGTGCAACGTGGCCTGCGGCTTGAACCGGTGGGTCTTTCTGGGGCCTGGTCCGATGCTGCAAAGCAACAAGTACTGCCCTCACTGCAACGACCGAAAATGTTACGATCAAAGCACGCAGCGCCATTGGCTTTGGCATCCCCTCCGCCAGCCACTTGGTTGCATGCAAGTAGATTGTCTTTGATCATTATAGTTCTTTGGCTGGTTCATGCAGTCTGTGTCATCCCATGCCATGGATATCTAGGGTCTTGGCTTTGGAGGATGCACCACCGACAGCACCTGTATCTTGGTAGAAGAGGTACATGGCTGTGCGGAAACAACACCCTCACATGTCTTGGCCCCAAGCATGGGGGATTAACATGACTGACTACCTGACAAAGCTGTACTTCGAGTACAATATTCCATGCAGCATATGACACCCATGCCCCGGATATTTAAGGTGTTGGCTTCGAGGGATGCTGCAGTCAAATCGTCCGGGGCCCATTCGGGAATCTTGGTCCAATGGTTCATGTCCAGCACTGTGAAGTCTGGCTAGATATGTTCTGTCACGCTCGCAAGGGGAAAAAATCATCGTGTGTCTCTGCAACTTCGTATCTGCATCCTTAAATCAGTATGGGTCAGTCCAGCCAACATTCATTATATATCCAATCATCTTTCAATGTTGTAACCAGGTTCATAGTTTCCTGGGACGCGCGGATCCTCGCGCTCTCTGCCTTTCATCCTTTGTCTTTCAACTACCTGCTGCTTTGGACAAACTGCAATCTTCGCACACATGCACGGCTGCTCTGACACTATGTATGTCTTCATGTCCTGCACTGCTTTCCACCGTGCACATTCTCATTGATCTTTCTGGCCACAAAATCGTTTGTGCATTCGTGCATCCAATGGGGGGTGGGTTATATATATATATATATAGATATATTGGGTTATTAAGTATTAAGCGCTTCCAAATCGGGATGCCTATCCAAGTAGAGGTTAGTTGATGGGAACTGATGTCACCAAGGTGCTGCCCAAATCATCCCACCTGGCAGTGATGATTTCACCATGTTTTCACTGAAATTCCAGATGTTTTTCATTGTTATCAACTATATTCCCCATCAAAATTCCGATGGAAGGTCATTTTTTTCCTTTTTTCCATCAAAATTCCGATTGAAGATGCAAATTTTTCGTTTCAACCAGTTTTTTCGCCAGACTTTGCACTTGGCTCCGCCCCAGCATCGTCACTGTGTCCAGGATGTCCGTGTCCATGGAGGAACAAGGCGACTTTGCCAAGGTGAAGGCCAGGGCCACTGCATGGTTTTATGGGTTGAAAAGGCTAAACAATGGGGCCCACATATCCACAGATTTGAAGGGTTCGGATTAGTCCAACAAAGAAGGAGTCTTGACCTTCCAAAATTTGTCAGTGTTTTTCTTAGAACTGTTTGGGGTACCTTGGGTGAATACTTGGGTGCTTTGAATCCAGCGGACACAAAAAGGTTGAGGTTTAATCAAGTACCTCTCAGAAAACCAACACGAATCCCTCAAGAGGAACTTATATAATATTTGAATGATATTATTTTCACTTTCACATTCTTTCTATTGTGATATTGTGTTAATGTTGATTGTCAGCTTTCATCTTAAGTTCCAAGGGCATTTCAAACAAACCAAGGGGCTATGTTCACATTTTTCGGGTTCCTATTGTCAGGTTCCACTGGTATTTTCGTCCAAGTGTCTTTGAGCAGCCGTCCTCTCTGGACGCCAACAGGAGCCGGTGGATTTGCCATGGATGGTGACGAAAGCCTGGAAAGTCTTTAGTGAATCCAACGCCTATGAGGAGGAGTGAATCCACCGTGGGCCACGATTTGCTTGGTGTCCCTGGCTTGGGTTCAAAGGTTGTTCAAGAGAAATAGGAGAGAACATGAAGTGGAACTAGCAGATGAAGTGGAATCTGGTGGGTATCCAGTTGCCTAGGTGGGAGGTTGCTGGGTTGCTCTGGACACTCTTGATGATTTCCGAACTGGCTCAAGCTTGTGCAGCCAACCCCTGGTCACCCTGACCAGGGGGTGGACAATCCCATCTTATCCAGCAAGATGCCAGACAATCTCATCGTGGCTATTTGACCGCCACCGGAATGAATGTAGATTATAGATGTTTCACAGCGGCGAGCAGGGAGCCTCACAGTTTTATTATGTTTCACCATGTTTAAGTTGTCTTTTATATCACGCTTTACCATGTTTGACAGTTCGGCAAATTTGAGAGTTTGAGCACCACTTGAGACCATGCCAGTTCGAAACTTGTCAACAACACACAAGAATCCCATATATAACCGATATATATATATATATATACACACATACATACATACATACATATATCCCCTTTCCGTCCATGTTCCAATGGACGAGAATGAGACCTTTCGCGTGGTGTTCAAGCGCGTGGCCGTCCGCAAGTCGCCCTCCGTCACCGCGGAGATCGTCAACGCCGAGACGAAGGGCGCCACGGTGACGGGGAAAGTCTCGAGGGTCCAAGGGAAGTTGTGGCTCCAGCGGTCGGATGGACCCGGGTGGATGCTGATGGATGGGACCAGCCTTGGCTTAGGACAGGGGTTTGGGAGAATGGGAAGCTGTTCTTTTAGCTATGTGTACAGTGAATATGTAGTCGAGGATTATGCATATACATATTGTTTATGGTCAGTGAACAAGTATCTTTCTAGCTGCTTAGGTTGATGTACAGGAATATACAGTTTACATGTCTGTATAGATATATGTATAGATATATGTATATATATATATCCCCATGTACATTGTGGCAAAACATATCTGTAGGTACTAAACTACCCAAATGCATTCTATGTATATATATATTTCTGGTCAGCGCCCCCAAGAGGCCTATAATATGTAGCATTGAATGATTGATGCCAAGTCAAACCAGCATTCCCAGCGCTAGGAAAGTTGTTGGAAAGGCTCCCAGCCACGAAGATGGCTTGTGGCAACATTGGTGAACGTCTCTGGCACTCGCCTCTACGCGAACTTCCACAGCCCCAATGGGCGCCCAGACATGGCTATGTAGCGCTGTCGGGTGGCCTATCTGCTACGGGCTGGCGGAATATCTGGGTCTTGGGTGGAATCATTCCGATGCCTGGCAACCATTGGAATCTTGGGGGTGCATGCCAGTTGGTAAGTGGCTACCACACACCTCAATGTGTATTATATATATATATGTGGTCACACCCCCCAAGAAACCACGCTGCAAGCACTCAAACATCTCCAATTGTCTGCATCTTGAAGAATAGTTGTCTTTTTATATATATATATAAACAAACAAATAAGTAAATAAATTAAATACGTAAATAAATATATGTAAGATAATATAAACTTTGTAGCTGAATTCGGTGATTTTCTATACTTTCCAATCTAAGCCTTGGTTGATTCCCCTGTTTCCAGAGGAACCTGGGCTATTCCGACGACATTTGGCGCAGCGTGGACGGGGGAACCTCGTGGGGCCTGGTGCCTGCGGGAATTCACTGGAGCCCCCGATCCGAGTTCGGATGCTGCGGCGGGTCCACCGCACCGGAACCGAAACCCAAAGGCGTGCAGAAAAAGTTGGGTTTTGTTTGCTTCCAAGATAAGTGGCTTAACTATAGCTTAACTATGGTTCAACTATGGGCTAAATTGACATATAAGTGGCTGAATTCTATGGTTTATGTTTGATATAACTGTAGTTAATGGATGTTAATGGGGTTTATAAATCAACTTATAGTTGGGGGGCACCATCCTGTAGTCATCCCCAGATCGAAGAGTGTTTCCAGGATAGATGGTGTTTTGGGGTGATCAACTTTTCTGTGTATTTTGGGGTTGCTATGCTGCTATACCCTTTGGTAAATAGATTTGAGGGTTACTATAATCTATAATGTGGAAAACTCAATAGTAAATAATCTTTAAAATCACTATAAAGGGGTAGTAACTATCATCCCCAGATGGTAGGTGTATTTCTCACATTAATGGGATTCAATCGGATTTGATGGGGACATTGTGAGGATATATAGCAGAACCAACTATGATATTTTGGGTTTGTCTGAAAATCGGGAATATAATCCAAATCGCAATTTATATAATCAGAAACATGATGATATACGGATGACAGACGAGTGTTTTTGAAAGGGTTGATTTTTCTCTCCAGGTTATCATCTAAAATGGGTACATAATGTGGATTTAATGGGTAGATTAGGCAATGAATTTGGAATACCCAAATTGTAATTTAATCATGTAAAACCGTCATATTTGATTGATAGGCAATCTTCCATGCACAATGTGAAATTACCAGAGTGTATATTATTGCTTATTACTTTTGTGTGTTTTATTTGTTATATGTTTATTTAGTTTGTTTATTGTATTTACTTATTTTTTTCTATTTGTTTAGTTTTTATTATTTTTCCCCAAACAGTGCACTGCGGGGTTCTTACGGTAACAGTTAAGGCCCGGTGTTCAACCGAGGTGGTATCGGATGTAAATTTCCGCACAAAATGCCTCTTGTGACATGTCCATGTGCATTTCGACTGCCCGGGCTCGCACAAAACGGTACGGGTCCGGCATTTTCCCTGTAAATTACCGCACAAAATGCCTCTTGTGACATGTCCATGTGCATTTCGCCTGCGCAGGCTCGCACAAAACGATGTCCCTGGATGTGTCCCCGGTCGTTTTTCCTGTAAATTTCCATACAAAATGGCTGTTGTACTTTGTCCATGTGCATTTTGACTGCGCAGGCTCGCACAAAACGATGTCCCCAGAGGTGTCCGCGGCCATTTTTCCTCTAATTTTCCATACAGAATGGCTCTTGTGCAATGCCCGTCTGCATTTCGGCTGCGCAGGCTCGCACGAAGTGTGCTTCCCGGTCTTGGGATCGGTCTTCCTCCTCAACATCCTCCTCCTCAACATCATCATCTTCCTCCTCCTCAACATCAACATCAACATCAACATCACCATCAACATCAACATCATCCTCTTCCTCTCCTCCTCCTCCTCCTCATCATCATCATCATCAGCATCATCACCATCGCCACCATCCTCAAAATCACCATTCTCATCCTCCTCATCACTACCATCCTCATCATCACCATCACCATCTTCATACTCATCATCACCGCCATCATCATCACCATCATCATCATCATCACCATCATCATCATCATTATCATTATCATCATCATCATCACCATCATCATCATCGCCATCATCACCAGCATCATCATCAACATTAATCACCATCATCACCAACATTAATTAACATCGTCATCAACATTATAATACATTATCCTTTTACTCCCCCCACACTGTTTGGGGTCTCTCGCCGGGATAATTTTGACGTGGACAAATTGGAGGAGTTTTTCGAAAGTGCCGCAAGTGGGGGTTTGAAACTTGGTGTTTGAAAGCCCAAAGATGGGCAGTCCCCAGGAGAGATTGATTTTTGAGAGACAAGGGGTAGTTCGGGGTGGTTCAAACGTTTTGAACTACAAGAAATGGCGGTGCTAAATGAGTTTTAACTACAATTGGTGGATATGAAACTGCATCAATTCTAAAGTTTGGCAATGATGCCACAAAGAGCGGAAATGATCGATTTGATGGCCAGACATGATTCAGGCTGGAGTATGTGTACAAATATATGTGTATATATAATTTTTATATGCATTATAACTATGTATAGAGTTAACTTAGAGGCCTCACAGCTTTCACATAGATTTACAAAGCTGGAGGAGAACCAAGCGCACGAAAAGAGAACAAATCAGTTGGATTGTTCCTGAGTAAGCCTTGAATTTGTAAAAACAATCATCCCGTGAGAAGAATGTGCCCCGGGCCCCGGATTTTTTTGTTTTCAAGCTATGATTTGGTCCAAATACCAAAATAGTGAATAGCGGTCTTCTCGAATTTCACCTTTGACAGTTTTTTTTTGTGATCTCTCGGCATATCTTGGCTATATCCTTTAGTACTATCTTACAATATTTTTTAGTCAGTCTTAGCACTGCTATTATGTAAGACCACTCTTTCGACCATTTTTTCGTAGGAACAATATTCAAAAGCACAAGGCAATTGGCTGTCCAAAAACCTTTAGCTACATCTTCCATGTCTTATTGGCCGCATCCCAATCTTCATTGCGTTGGTGAACTCTCTCCTACGCTGTTGGTGAAGCAATCTCATCCCTCAGTATCAATCCTCCCAATTGAAACCTTTGCCAATTGAAACCTTTGCTTTGCTTTACTCTTCATGATGGAGTCCCCCCAAATTTCACTAAGATAACGTCCGATCGGCAGTACTCAACTTCATCTTAGCCGTCTTAGCCCCCCAAAACCCCAGAGATTCTCCAGTTGCGCCAGGTGTGATCTACGTGGTGGGCGGCCAGGGTGCCCCCGGTCTGCTGGCCGACGTCTGGGCCTCCGACACAGCAGGCCGCTCCTGGGCTCGGATCTGTCCCCGTGCACCCTTCGGGCCCAGGACGGGGGTAGCCTGCGCAACGGTGCCGGGGAATCCCCTGGTGCTGGTGGTGGCGGGGGGCGTATCGGATGATGTGCATAGAGATTTATGGGTCACTGGGCATTTTTTCGGTGGAGAATCAGCAAAAATTTTGCTTCTTGATTCGGAGGATGATTACAACAAGATCTCAAAATGCAGTTTACGACATGATCACACTGAGTCACACGGATGTCTTCGGTTTGGTTGGTCCCAAAAACTAACGTTTTGCAGTTTAGGTGTCTGTTTTGGAGCTGGATCTACAATGAAATGCCCTAGCAGTTGGCTCCTTGAAAATTGAAGCGCCCTCAAGGAAGCTACAGCATGCTTCCCTTGAAAGAAGGCAAATTTGATGTCTGAACATCCAGAAACCTCCTGCACATCAAACAAACGTGCCATCCAAAAAATTTACAACAAAATAATCAAATAATCAACTTGATTTTCTGACACCAAAAGGCTTGGGTCTTAGGTCCCATCTTCAGACTTGTGCTACCCCCCAGCACCAGGTGAGTCAAGATGGTGGTGTGACTTTCTCCATGCTATCTTTGACCATGCCCTTGGGTGTTGGCCTCATGAAGTGGCCTCCCCATCTGCTGTGCGCCTCCCGCGCCATCAATGGACGCTTGGGGCTCTGGTGTCTACGCCTCAACCTGGGAGATGCTGTGACGGCGGAACTGGAACCGCTGGATGAATTTTCGCAGAGCTTTGATAGCTACCTGGCATGGGAAGTGGACGGGAGAGTAGTTTGAGGAGTTGCAATCTTTGTTTGAGATCTCGAATGGTCAGCAGGATCACGTGTGGTCAGGAAAGCTGCATGCTCCTACCGAAAATGAATCCCCAGCTTGGTGTGAAGATCTAAACCCCAGGCCAACAAAAATCATGAACAAAGGCTGCATCAGATTTTCAGAGTGGAACCCCTTCAACTTCCACACATCTCTACTTGGTGGCTCATCCCACTTGTAAGTAGGTTACAACCCCAGTTATACGATGTTATACGTGGATTGACCTACTTACCTCACATCTTTTACTGGGCTTATTTTTTCATATTTTTTCGCCCAAGCCGAGCCGGTTATTATAGCCCGCAGATCACGCCCGATCACCGAGGTGAATGGAACCACGAATTGCCCAAAGCTCCCAGGTTTGGCCTGGATTTAGAAGCTAACGCGGCGATCAGCTTTGATAAAACTGTGACCTGGATCTACCTGGGAGACTGACCTGGGAAAAAAAAACTGGAAGGTAGGCCAAATTGGGCAATCTACATCTTTGTAGATTGCCAGAATATGATAGAATATGCTTCAATACTGGCAATACTCCATCATAGTTCTCTGGGTTTGGTCAGTTCATGCCGAGGCAAACTTGCAAGCGCAAAGCCTACCCGATCTAAAATCGGTCTCAAGTCCTTCTCCCTGGGATTGCGAAAATCTGCCACTGGAGAAGATGTCGTGTCACGTTCCTCCAGATTCTTGCTGGGTTGTTTGCGACATGGATGCGGCCCACACCCGTGGACATGGGAAGATCTATGTGCTGACTGAGGATCGATGTTTTGCCTCTGACCGACAGCAACTGAGACGGTGAGACTTTGTTTGTTTCAGCAATCTGATACCACAGCACCCATCCAGCAAGTTCACGTAAATACATGGGACATGTTAGGACCGGTTCGGATAAGAGACCGATGGGGTTACATTGAATTATATTGTCTATATATTGTCTATATATCGTCTATATTGTATTCATAAATCCTGCTGATTCACCAAAAATCACCCGTTTTTTTCGGTGTTTCAACGCAACCGGAGAGTTCTCGGCACCAGCCAAGGCAGTATCGAGCACAGGATCATTTCGTCAAGCTGCTGGGCTTTCGACTTCAGTTGACCCATGGCCTTCCGATGGATCTCTGGTTGGGACGTGTGAGGCCCTGCCTCTTGCCACGGCCTCGGCGCTTTGCCGGTCTGGCGGCCAATTGAGTTCTGTTCTATCCCTACTTGGGATCCTGACTGCTACTAGTAGGTGATTATTGCTGACATTTTCGCGGAGTGAAACCAGTAGGATACTTTGTGGTGTCTTGGCGCAACGTGCCAATTTTTTTCGGACTAGTGATGGTCTGCACTTCATGCGAAAAGAGCATGGAAAAATGGTGTGCGAGAATCATTCTGCTGTTGGAAGAGTTCTTGGACCAATTGGGTGTCATCACTTCATATTCATTCTGCACATTTTCGCCAAATTTCAACAAGGACCGACCAGATTCAAGCTTGTGAATACTCGCATCTCTCTACACGGGTTTCTTGGCTAGTCATCTTTCTGTTTCGCGCAAAGCCATGGTGAGTCAATCCCAGTTTCACGGGGACAACTTCCCAGACGTTTGATGTGTGTACTTGTTGAAAAGCTGTGTGGTGAGTTAGTGGATCCTCCAATCAGGGTATTTGTACCCATGGAATCCTGAATGATGGTGGGATGACCATACCTCCATACCCCATGACTATCCCATGTAACTGCACCCTACGGCACATCTGGGTAGCTCCCAGCTCTGTTTTTGCAGGACCCGGATCTGAAATGTGACTACCTGGACCCCAAGATGCCACTTCCGGAGGCCGAAGTGGAGGTGCCAGGGCATTTTTGGTGCAGCAATCGTGACGGTCAGAGGGATGACAACGGCAAGAAGATCCAAATGATAAGAGCATTAATAGTACTGGCTGGTGGTTTGGAACATTTTTTATTTTTCCATATATTGGAATAATCATCCCAACTGACTATATGATATTTTTCAGAGGGGTAGGTCAACCACCAACCAGTTAAAGTCCTATGACATAACATACTTTTCAGGCGATGGACTCCGATTGACATCCACAAATTCCATCAAATTCCAGGCTATGGTTGATGTGAACAGACGGTTTTTGGGCTGAGGTCTGTCTGCATATCTCGGACAATGGGGCTGCTTCTCCACCAGGTGCGAGAGCCTGGCCTTGAACGTTTTGGGAGCCACGAATGGCTGGTCGTTGTCATCCATGTCTCCCCAAGGTATCCAACAATTTTCCCAAAATGATCCAACACTTGTCCAAAATGATGCAAACAACAAATCCAAAACCGATCCAAAATGAACCTTTCCCCAATTAGATTCAATTAGTGTTAATGAGTTCGAGCCATTTTTGTTCTCAATGAGTGGACCACGTCAAACTCCCCATGGGCCAACGTGGGCCAACGTGGCCATCCACGGCCAAGGTGATGTCAAATATAGTATAATACTACAATATACTACATAGATGGATATGTATATATAAATAATATTATGATTCATGATGTATATACAATATATATCATATAATATATATATATATACGTATATATATATATACATAAATATATGGATATATATATAATACATAGGGCACAAAAAAACAACTCATGGACACTTGACTCATGTTGGTCTGGATGAATGGGATCACGCCGTGGCGCCGCGAGGTGAATTGGCAACTGGCACCAGCTCATCCTCGAAGAGGAGATCCAACGGTCAAAACGGCGGGCCTCGCCAATGGCGATTATATTTTTTTCGGGTACCACAAGTATGTTTCCCGAAACACCTTTAATATATATATACATTATATAATATGCCATGTTGTGGATAGAACTCAGCTGTTGTCATTGAAGTGCTTTGGTCTTCATTGAAATGTGATTTCCGCTTCAGGGCAAAACTCTTGTCCAGTCAAACTTCAGGTTTGATTGTCAACATAGCCATGAAAGATGATCCCTTCTGTCATATTTATAGTCCACAGAACCCCCTGGCTTAGTATTGGAGATACTCATTTGGGGGGCCAGTTTAGGGGGGCATTGATATGGCTGGGGCTTGGGATTATATTATCATTACATAATTTTACTAGATAAATCCCAATGAAATCCTCATTTTTTTGCCGGTCAGAACAGGTTATGCCACCATTTTCCAAGTAAAAATTTGCCCAGTACCGAAGTTGGTTGACATTTCTCCAGCACTTGTGGGCTTGGCCGGCTTGTGTTTTTTTCAACGAAGCCGCGCGCGCTTGGATGGCCTTTTGATGCAGGAAAGACCGTTCGGAGCCGACACGCACAGGCACCCAGCTGGTGGGTGTTTGCTGGTCTTCCTGAGATCATCTGACGGGATTTGGAGGGAACCGACAGAAATTTCGTGATTTAAGCAGAAAGAGATGGGGATTTGACAAATATGGGAATATCATGGGTGTTTACCGACAAATATGGGAATATCATGGGGATACATGGGGATACAGTGGAAGGTAGATCGGGAATCAACCATCTATAGTTGGGAGGAGGATACGTAATCAATCCCATCACCCGTTCATATTAAACACCCCAATTGCATGGTCCCAATGGAATGTGGAAATCCCGGAGAAGGGATTAGAATGATTCAATCTTTGATCCATCTTTGGAATTGGAAGTATTCGCAATGGCCGTGGCCTACAGCTTTACATTTTTTAAAAGTATAAATCTCTATACCCTAGTCTGATGCTGTACTATGGTGCCCAACTAATTTCTTACTAGTCCTAGCAATAAACCTCCCCTGTATGGGAGCCAAGTGTGAATAGGTCCAAAGCATTCCACATGCGGATTAGGGCATCAATGGATTGACACCACACCTCAATGTCTTTAGTCGTTTGCGGTAGTGTGGTACACTCAATAATACACCTCCAATTTTGGATGGGGTATACCATGGTATACCGGTATACCATACCAGCATTTCTGGAAACTCATCGGTGATGGTTGCGGCAAAATCATGCAAATCATGGCTTTTTAAGGGGATGGTTAGTTAAGAGTGACCCAAGAGTGACCTCGTGATGGTGGCTGAATGATGCCAACCGCGATGATCACCCACTGTCAGGCGAGCGAGCGCTGCGGATATCGGGTGTGGCGCCATAGTAGTCATCCCCAAATACCAACCACAAAGAAGGCTTCAGATCTGAATCCCAAGTCGTGGTACATGTAAAAACCTCACAAATAAAGAGCCACCTCCGAAATTTAACGTGGTTTTTCGGCCTGGAAAATGAGTTTCTGCACTGCATCGTTCCCTTTGGGGTGCTAATGATGACATTTGAGGCCATTCTAGCTTGTGGAAATCAGGGGTCAACATCATCCAAGGTACCCCCTTTAAAACTCCATCGCAACTATGGATACTTTACCCACTATCTACACTATCATTGGTGTTATATGGCTTTATCATACTTTATCATTTTTTTTGTCAACCGTTCAACCTCACTTTTGAGCCAGTTTTCTGCATGCTGCTGACCCGTTGCAATTCACAGATCCCTGTTGGATCTGACAAGGTCTAGATGACTCCATCAAGAATGCTCAGCGCATCATGGGAACCTACGACCAGCAGGCAACGCGATGCGGACGACATGTGCGATGATAGATCTGTTTCGGATCGCAGAGATATCAATTTGCCTGGATATAGAAAAACACATATGTATATATATATATATATTATATATATATACAATATATATATATATAATATATATATATATACATACAGCATATGTATATGATTGGATGTAAATGCATGCATGTCGTTTTTTCCTTTTTGCAAATGGAAACAGTTGAGAAACAGTTGTGAATCAACACCGAGGGATGCTGGTACTTCCCTGGGCTGTTGAATTGAGGTACGGTACCACTTTACTGGCAGATTCTCACTATTTAGGTTTAGGCTGCCCCTTTTTTAAACACAGGGTTTGTTGTAGTTTATTACCCTCTGGTAAACTAACATAGCTATGGAAAATCACAATTTCTAATGGGTAAATCAACTATTTCTATGGCCATTTTCAATAGCTATGTTAAATTACCAGAGGGTAATACGGGGGTGACGGTTTTTATCAGACTGCAACTGACAGCAGGGTACTTCATCCTTTCGTCTTGTGCAGGTCATCTTTTTTCGAAAAATAATCCTCACATCATCACGCAGGGAAATTGGTATGCCCAAGAATTTGCTAGGCCATATCCCCCAAATTGCCATCTACATGTATGTATATATATAATGTATATATATATATATAATATATATATATAATGTATATATATATATATAATGTATATATATATAATGTATATATATATATATATATAGAGAGAGGGAAGCTGGATGTAAGGGCTTTTTCCTTCAGTTCCAGACAAACCCAATAGATATCCCGCTATATCCCCAGGATTGGTTTGGGTATCCCTCTGTTAGATCCCATAGCACCGCCCATTGCTCCAGGGAGAACACAATGGGCGCCCCATCTTTGTGAAGGATGACAAGGCCCGGGACCTGGGATCTCGCCATGGCGAGAGGATGACTTCATATGACCAGAACAAGCTGAAGCGGATACATACATATATGCATATATATATATATATTATACATATATATATATAGATATACACAAACATGTATACATACATGCATTTCATATATATATAATACAAAGGTAGACACACCATTGGGAATATAAACAGCTGGGAGAGAAAATAAATATCAATAGACACCAGGGATTTGATCAACGTCAATTGGGGGAAGAATTTATCCTCGGACATTTGGATTCAGCACATCAGAACTGGGTCGTAGTCCAGCCCCTTGCTGTGGGTTGCATGTTGCTGCGATACATCGTGCGATCTGGCTTAGGATCACCACTGTCCATGCATAAGCACATGTATATGTGTAATATGTATATGTGTAAGCATATGTATATGTGTAATATGTATATGTACATGTATATGTATATGTATATGTGTATGTGTATGTATATGTACATCTATCTATATGTATGTCTATATGTATGTCTATATGTATGTCTATGTGTATGTCTATGTGTATGTCTATATGTACATGTCAGTATATGTATGTGTAGTTATATTCTGCAACCTTAAACCATGTCACATGCTTACTGCAGGCGAAACCCAGCGTCTTGTTCTTCCACGCTGAGAAGGTGGTCTAGCCGTGGCGGAGAACGGATGGAAAATCGTAGGGACATCCTCTGAACATCCATCATATTAGTTTCGAATTATTGTATATAAACGGTACGATTTATACTTATAGTCATTTACATGATCAACAATAGTTCTCAATCATAAGTTGAGGTCAATGACCTCAATCCATGTATTAGTTCCCTCAGATTAGTTGGTACTATGGATCCACTTGGTTTCAAGTTGATTACTGTATCCTCTGGTAATTGAAGAGGTTGCTAACTGGAATATAACCATTTTTAACAGCGGTAAATCAGCGAAATCAATGGACCATTACTCAACCATAGCCATGTGAACGTAGTAACTTAGTAACTACATTGTGGGGCCCCCCAGTTATAAGTTGGTTTGTAAACCCCATGAATACTATAGTTGTAAGTACCATAAACCATAGTTATTGGAGTTATAAACCAACTTAGCTATCTTGGGGGCACCACGTTGTAGGCCTTGCTTACTCAACCATTTACTCAACCATCCCTCTGTGGGAAACTATTGTGTAAAAATCGTGACGACTGGTGGTTTTCTTACCGTCTTACCATAGAAGTTTTTGCTGTGAAAATCCCCGATGATGGCTTGGAATCAGCTTCATCAGCTTGTATTTTCACAGGTGCTGAGCCACACAAAAAAGAAGGTGCTCTAAGACTGATTGTCATGACTGAAGGCAATGGTAATCATTTCTTATAAATCTGCAGAATGGATAGATCTTAAAAAGCCTGGTCAATATGTATACTGGTTGGTGGTTTGGAACATGGCTTTTATTTTTGCATATATTGGGAATAATCACCCCAACTGACTTTCATATTTTTCAGAGGGGTAGGTCAACCACCAACCAGATGATCATTTATCCCATCATATAACCCATATAGAACCACTATTATTGGTATTAACCATTGACTTTCATATTTTTCAGAGGGGTTCAAACCACCAACCAGGTATATTACTGTATGGATTTCGATCGTGAACTCACCAGGACAAATGGCGGATCGCCAAATCCGTCAGCGAGCGAGGCGGCGCCGGCTTGCCCTTTGATGAGGGTCACATAGCAGTTGAAAATGGCCATCTGTATTTGATTTAAGTATCAAAAAAGGTGATTTTCGATAATTAGCTATGTTAGTTTCCCAGAGGGTATGGAAACTTTCGAATTCTGGATCCCCAAACAAGAATCCAAAGGACTAATTATCAGGGGTCATTTTATGTGACCAATCTCCACGCAGTCAAGAGTTGAAGTGGACACCACTTCGCAGGATAACAAGGAGATCACATATGATATTATATTGGCAATGAGAATGGGTGAGCGGCATCCCAATCCAGGATAAAAGCTGTACGCAATAGCATAGTTGTAAGCTATCTTGAAACAGACTTAGCTGGCAGCTGATTCATGGCTTTTGACCTGGGTATGTCCAAAAAAGGGGCATACCTGGCATTCCTCCCATAAGACAGACGTGGATCATGTGGATTTCGGCCTGTCCTATTGACAAACATGACAAACCAAGGTTGCACATCTAAATCCTAAGTTTTGATTATAAAATAAATACAATATGGCAGTGTGTCAAAACCCTGTACCCCTGGTGAACCCCAAAATAGCTGGTAAATGGATGTTCATCCCACTAAAAATGGTATGTATAGGTATTGATCCATAGCCATATAATAAAATAATCATTTTGATTCTTCAACCAACCATATTGTCCTCCAGTAATCAAACATGGCATGCTGGGAAATCTACCATTTAGATCCATTTAGTCACTAAACATGGAGCTGACGTCGCCGGCAGGTGACTTTGCTCACGTCAAGGACCACGCGGAGTTGCCTTGGCAAATCGGACGGGCTTGGAAGGCGCTGGTGAAGCGCATCACCGTGAAAAAGAAAGACATGAAACCGCGATTCTGAATGATTGATGAATGTTGATGATATTTATATATATATATATATGTATATACATGTATATATACACATACTAAGATGATATACATATAGGGGTTTGGTGACTATTGTAATCCACAAATTCGGTTTGTTGGATGGGTCGCATTATCCAAATTCGACCAGGTCTTCGACGGTGAAACCTATCGGGAGGCACTGCCCAGCCGCAGCTGTTGGGCCCAGCGCGGTGTGTTGAGACATTTTTTTGGGATAGTATGTTGTACTTAATCACCATCAACTGAGTTGGTTTATAAACGCCATTAACTATAGATATCTGTATACATCATTAAAGGTGGTTTATGAGGGATATATCGTGTTTGGTGGTTGACCCCCACCATAAAAAGCCAGCTATTTTTGCGTGAACAGAAGGGCACGAGGGTCAAAAGACCCATAGCCACATCAACGTCTGACATACTTAGCGGTGTCTGGGTGTGTCTGAACATGGGGGATACTCCCAAATAAGAGTTTTAACAGAGAACATGATGGTGAACCAGTCCATTTAGAGGCACCCGATTTTCTGACACACCCACATCTTGCTGTTGCTCCATGGTATCCGACGTTTTCGGACAGTGGTGCTGAGCTTCTAGGTTCCAGAGCTACAAGGGAAAGCTACCGTTGGTGTGATTATTGTAATCTCACCAGGTTTATTCGCTTGAGATGCAGCAACACAACACATGGCATTATTCCGAACATCTTTCTACTTGTTAACATCATAAGATTCCATTTATTTACTATCACATTTCCCATGTGTGTTGGGTAGTCGCCCGCATTTCATACGTTCATAAGGTCCTTGATGATATTTCAACGTGTTATTGGTCACAATTTCCATTTGACAAGACACTACCCACCAGTTACACCGAAGCATGGCATGAATCGCCATGACACCTCAATGGGTGGGTCAAAACCATGTACCCCTGTAGTTCACTTGAAAATACCTGGGAGTGGATGTTCATTCCCCCAAATTTAGTCGGACAACGGTTGGTTTTCACCCATCCCCAAACCTCTGTGGTCCTCAAAAGACCGTGTTTTGGACCGTGTTACGCCGCAGGTTTCGATGACCGTGGAAGTTCTTTCCACGCAGGTAAGATGCAGAAGCCGCTTTTTTTACAACCGGGAGTGCTGGTTTCAGAAATGAACATGGATAGGAATTTACATCCTTAATTTCGTACTGGATACAATGTATTCTTTTACATTTGGTGTAAAACGATATATATATATATACATATTAACACACCTAAGAGTCAGACACATGATATATAGGATCATATGTACTATAAAGTAGAGATACAAAGACACTATGTACATCAGATACATGCTATCTGCAAGTGTCATATTTGTATAGAAACATTGAAATGCAAAACTCTAGACATATTTACATAAATCAGTATAGCTGTAGAGACAGACGGATATAGCTCTCGAACGTCTTGGTGACCGGCCAGATTCTGCCTGGCAACTCAAGCTAGAATGCACTAGGACAGAATTTCAATCGCAAATAGGACGGGGGTATATTCTCTATACACATGAGGAAGTCGCCTTGAGGATGCCGGAAACGACAACGTCCTTTTTCGCAGTGCTTGGGGGATGATCATCACAACAAGGTGGCCCCCCCTCCTCGGTGTGCCTTCCAGGCTCCCAAAGCTGATGAAAAGAGGTGGGGCATCGGATGCAGCCTGCGACCCCCAGGATTTCATCGTAAAGAATTCTCTGGTTTACTGTACACCTCTCTGGTAATTTACCCTCTGGTTATGTCAAAATAGCTATTGAAAATAGCAATTTATAGTGAGTTTTCCCATTAAAAATGGGTGGATTTTCCATAGTTATGTTAGTTTACCAGAGGGTACTGTAACAGTTTGCGGAAAACCACACTTCTTTTGTAGGAAAACATCTGCACATCGGCCTTGTTCCATTGCTTTGTTAAGGTCCTGGAGGGTACACCTGTAATGACCTTCAATTGTTGGGTGAATTATTGTGTCAATGAAATCCGGTAAACAAAACACGTTTTCGAGCATGTTACTGTACCCTGCAGAAAACCTGCTGAATCCCAGGACACCGCCGATTCTGGGTGATCAACTTGCCAACGACGGTGATGTGTGTGTGTGTCAAACTTGCGTCAGTAAATAGTTCATCACGGCGAACCTCAACCAACATGTACGCATGTCAAGATGATAAGTTCAATTTGTCGGTCAGTCCCAAACACGTTTCTGAGCTTGAGGATCACTCGAAGCGGAGGAATTTGGACACTAAAACTAGAATCCTCTGTATGGTGTGGGAAGTGAACCCGCTGGGTCGAGTGCACCCTTCTTCACTCTGGCACTTACGGCTCAAGATGTCGTTCGTGTCTAGAACATTGCTTTTTTATGCAGATTCTTGGTGCTCCCTGCAATGCTTCGAGTACATGTATCGTTCCCGAGTGGTTCTGGGGAAACTCTCGTACTCTCTGAACTCTCCAAAGTGGGGGAATTGAAAATTCTGGCACAGAAAACTTTTGGAAAGGGCTTCTTGAAGCTCGTCAGTGCGGATGGACTTCTCCTGATCAACCTGATGGACTCTTTGCAAGCTGCAGGGGTGCATGACGGACAGCGCCTAACTGCAGTAGCACAACAAGCGAAAGTAGCCGCATCTCGACGGGCATTTGCTTTGTGGTGCTGTGGAGGTGACCAAATAGTTACTTGGGGCAATCCATGCTATGGTGGCGACAGCTCGGCAGTTCAAGATCAGCTCAGGAACGTTCAACAAATTCAGGCCACAGATGGAGCATTTGCCGCGCTCTTGGCTGACAGTTCAGTGGTTGCTTGGGGCGCTCAACTCTATGGTGGTGACTGCTCAGCAGTTCAAGATCAGCTCAGGAACGTTCAACAAATTCAGGCCACACGTGAAGCATTTGCTGCGATCTTGGCCGACAGGTCAGTGGTTGCTTGGGGAAATCCACACTGTGGTGGTGACTGCTCAGCAGTTCAAGATCAGCTCAGGAACGTTCAACAAATTCAGGCCACAGATGGAGCATTTGCTGCGATCTTGGCCGACAGGTCAGTGGTTGCTTGGGGAAAGCCACACTGTGGTGGTGACTGCTCAGCAGTTCAAGATCAGCTCAGGAACGTTCAACAAATTCAGGCCACAGATGGAGCATTTGCTGCGATCTTGGCTGATCGTTCAGTGGTTGCTTGGGGAGATCCACTCTATGGTTGTGACTGCTCAGCAGATCAAGAGCAGCTCAGGAACGTGCAACAAATTGAGGCCACACGTGATGGCACATTTGCCGCGATCTTGGCCGACAGGTCAGTGGTTGCTTGGGGAAATCCACACTGTGGTGGTGACTGCTCAGCAGTTCAAGATCAGCTCAGGAACGTTCAACAAATTCAGGGCACAGATGGAGCATTTGCTGCGATCTTGGCCGACAGGTCAGTGGTTGCTTGGGGCGCTCCACTCTATGGTGGTGACTGCTCAGCAGTTCAAGATCAGCTCAGGAACGTTCAACAAATTCAGGCCACACGTGAAGCATTTGCTGCGATCTTGGCTGACGGTTCGGTGGTTGCTTGGGGAGATCCACTCTATGGTGGCAACTGCTCAGCAGTTCAAGATCAGCTCAGGAACGTTCAACAAATTCAGGCCACAGATGGAGCATTTGCTGCGATCTTGGCTGATCGTTCAGTGGTTGCTTGGGGAGATCCACTCTATGGTTGTGACTGCTCAGCAGATCAAGAGCAGCTCAAGAACGTTTTTGCCGCGATCTTGGCCGACAGGTCAGTGGTTGCTTGGGGCGCTCCACTCTATGGTGGCAAGTGCTCAGCAGTTCAAGATCAGCTCAGGAACGTTCAACAAATTCAGGCCACAGATGGAGCATTTGCTGCAATCTTGGCTGATGGTTCAGTGGTTGCTTGTGGAGATCCGCTCTATGGGGGTGACTGCTCAGCAGTGCAAGATCAGCTGCAGTGTTTGTAGATGCTTTTGTTCAGCATGCTTTAGCAGAGAACAGTGATCGACATGTTCTGGAAAAAGACGAGCATGGTCAAGGACACCAGTTTGTGGTGGGTATCTTTAGCTTCGGTGCGCTGAGATTTGTCACATTTTTGTATGTTCTTGTCACATGGCCCTCGGAATACAACATAACTGGCTGGACCCCTCTTCATTTATATATATATATATACTCAATGTATATATGGAAGTTTCTCACTCAAGAGATTGATTTTCCGTGCAAATCATTTGATGAGCGGAGGCTATTTTTGATGCCCCATTCATATCCCCATCGTGGGTCCCACTCCTGAGTAGATGCAGAGATGTCATTTTTTCATATTTTTTCCATTTGTTGACGAATGGAGGGGTTACAACCAATAGATTCAATAGGTAAATGGTACAGAATGAAACATGGATATAGATTACACTGGTACACAAGACGGGCCGAAACCTATCGAAACCTACCCTTTGGTAAACTAACATAACTATGGAAAATCACAATTTTCAATGGGTAAATCCACTATAAATGGTCCATTTTCAATAGCCATGTTAGTTTACCAGAGGGTATATATATATAATTGGGTCTGTCTGACAATGGGGTCACCCCCAATGATAAACTTGGAGTGTCAACATGTTCCCCGTTGTGAAGTGTTGCCATTAATATTGGTGCAAAAAATGGTGCAACATCCTGGTTGTTTTGGGACAAAACCCAGGTTATTTTTTGATTTATACATACACCGATACATCCATTATATCCCCATCTTATCCCCTTTCTATCCCATTAACTCACCATTTCTGTTGGTGCAATCCCTTCAAATCCCAGTTTTTCTTTGCTAACACCAGAAATCAGAAATCCCATTTTTTTATTGGGTTCAATTTTATTAAAAAAAAGTCCCTAGTTTTGTTGGTCCAATCTAAATCCCCAGGCGAAAAGCAGGTGCCCCGTCCTTCGCATCGCTTCGCCTGGGAGGCCTCCGCCACCTCCGCCGGCTTTGGGGCTGCCGAAACTGCCGAAGCCGGACGTGGATGAGATCGGGCTGGATCTGCTGGCGCGGCTACCGCAGGACTCGGTGGAAAAAACGGTGGGGGTAAACTGTTGGTGCGGGCAACCGGGGGTTACCCACAAGGGGAATGGTAGTTTCATATGGTTTTAGATAGTTTAAGAGAGAGAATCATTGGATCATGATATGAATGATTTACCCGCAACGGTGTCCTGAGCCACGTGGCTGGGAAATTGACGGAAATTCCCAATGAAAAAAATGAAGGTATTAAGGGGAGAATCATATACAAATGGGGAATTGTCCACTGCCACGTTTGCTGACAGGACGGTATACATTATGCAATTGGGGACTATGAACCTTTGCAGTTAATCAACGTTGGGTGACTGTTGAGGGGCTGTAAATTGGTGAATCACCCATCAATTATCGGGGTTTTATTGGTTTTAACCATCAAGAATACAGGGATATTGGTGGGAAATGATGGCTGATTGGTTAAGAACTAGGTTGCTAGTAGCAAGTTGCTAGTCTAATTAGCTTATAGTTAATGGTGGGGATTCGGAACTAACATGGACTAATTCACAACTAAGGGGTTTATTGGGCATTTATTGGGGACGATTCACTAAGCCATAATTTATAGTTGACCAACCACTCACGTGGGATCTGATCGGACTTTGGCAAGTTTGGCTCAGGTTATCCTTGAGATGGCTGATGGCTAAATTTTCATGGGGATGCCAGCCACCACAAAGATATGGCAATGTGTCAAAACCTTGTACCCCTGGTGAACATCAAAATAGCTGGTAAATGGATGTTCATCCCCCTAAAAATGGTATGTATAGGTATTGATCCATAGCCACATGATCATAATTCACCATAATGTTAACCACAATTAGACGAGCAACCAAATTATAATATATTACAATTGCCATCATTGATGTTTTTTGCTACATTTGGTTGATGGGTAATTGCAAGTATCCATCATTATGTGGTTTGTGCAATTCACGTTGATCCCTGGTGATAGATTGTGTTTTTTTTCCCCCAAGGATATGTACTTTCACACACCTGGGGGATGTTCCACCAGAAACGATGGCTTTTTGTCATATACATTTCCCAGCAAACAGGGGGGCACATGAAGCTTGAAAAGCCAGCCTTAGCTTAGACCATGATTGATGCGTAGTAGCGGGGTCATACCTCCCAGGGATGGGATCCCCCACATCAAGACGGATCAAAATCATCAGCGATTTTGATATGAAGAAAAGGGGATAAACCATGGGTCAAAAGCGCCATAGCCATATGAAATAGAATGGAGTTTATATATATATATACATGATTGTCAGGGTTAGTTGCTCTCTGGCCACCTCAGATGCCAGGGGAAGATTGGGAATGTCATAAAGAAATCATCATGGATTCTCTTTTTTTGGACCATGAATTGTTGTGAGGTACTTGGAGGATCATCCCACATTCAAACTGTTGGTTTCCAGATGCAGATCTTGGCATTTCAAACTGACTTGGGGGGTTGCATCGCACTTAGTAAATGGCGTATACCCTATGTTTTGTTTGTGGGTTAGGATTATCTCTATATATATATATATATCTATATGGGATTATATGGAGGTTTCCTAAAATGGGGGATCCCCAAAACCAATAGCTTTCAATGCTAAAATCAACGAATGACTTGGATGATAACTAGGTAACTAGGAGTACTGCCATTGAGGACGCCCCAGAGGGTCATGCGGCCCATCATGCGGTGAACTGGGACGGGCAACGGCACCGTGTGCGGTGGCCTAGCGGCCGAGAGCGCTCGCTTTTCCCAGCGGATGGATTAGGGCTACCCTATTTTGAAACAAGCCCCAACTGGGTATTTTAACCAGCAAATATGGGGAAACCAGCCGGAATTAGTAGGGATATAATTGATATAATGGGATACCAGGGACTCACTCTAGATCAGAATCACATCTACAGTGTTAGTAACTGGCATCAAAACTAAACCAACCAATAGCCTACAGTAAATGTTGTGTCTCAAACACCTGGGCTGGTTTGGTTGCTTCTGGCATCCACCATCTTTCGGTGTCAAAAGTCCACTAGTTGGGGGACATCCCCAAGGTCCATTGTGACCAAACTGCTTTGGGCCCACCCTTTTGGGGTTTGTTCGAAGTCTAGTTGTTTATCAGTGAAAACCATCTCCATTTTGAGACAGACGTCATGACGTCATTTTCGGGCTTCGGACTTTTGGTGTTTGCCAAGGCCGTTGAACTTTCACATACTTTCACATGCACCTTTCACACGCCGCTATTCTTACTGCTACTGCTAAAGTTACAGCTGCGGGTTGCAGTGGAGGATCACTCCTCGGATGCTGATGGATTGTCATGGTGACACCATGGTGACCGGAGAATGTATACTTGCGCAGTGAACTAAGTGAACTAAGTGAATATATTTCATCCTTAACTTATGGGAGTCATAATCCGATGGTTGTACCTGTACCCAGAAAAGTCACCCCAACAATGGTTAGTCTCCATGATCCTTCCATGATCATTTCATTATCATTCCATTTTCATTCCCCCCAAAGTCCCATTACTGTAGAACCACAATTTTGGATGGTAAAATCTCAGTTCTGCACCCCCAAGCAGAAAACCGTAACATGCGCCGAGGCCTTTTTCTACTTCAACGGCAATCGCTTTGATGTCGCGAAATCTCGTTCAGATCTGAGACAAAGAACCCGACCATGTCAGGTAGGAAAGAACACGCAGTGCTTGTCTGGAATTCTGTAGCTATCTGGTGGTTTTAAATGTATTTATGTATGAGTCTAAGTTTTCACCACATATATATATATACCAGTAGTACCGCACAAGGCGGTGGCGGAAGTTTCAGAATAGGAAACCTATAGGAGACGTTGGTTGTTGTGAATCACGGATGGCAGAGCGAATCCACTGATTGACCGAAAAGTGGTTGGAGTTGTGTTTGCTGGAGTGGTTGCAATGGTTGCAGTGGTCACCTCACCCACAACTGCTGGATGTAGTGTGATGTACTGCAACTATAGTTGTAGTTGTAGCGTAGTGCAGTTGTAGTTGTGGTGTAATGTAATTAGTGTAGTGTAGTTGCAGTCATATAGTTGTAGCTGTAGTTGCTTTGTAGTTCTAGTTGTTTTGTAGTTGTAGTTGTAGTTGTTGTAGTTGTAGTTGTTGTGTGGTTGTAGTGTAGTGTAGTTGTAGTGTAGTTAGTAGTTGTAGTTGTAGTTGTAGTTGTAGTTGTAGTTGTAGTTGTAGTAGTAGTAGTAGTAGTTGTTGTTGTTGTAGTTGTTGTAGTTGTAGTTGTAGTAGTAGTAGTTGTTGTTGTTGCTGTTGTTGTTGTTGTTGTTGTTGTAGTTGTAGTTGTAGTTCTAGTTGTAGTTCTAGTTGTAGTTCTAGTTGTTGTGTAGTTGTTGTAGTTGTAGTTGTTGTAGTTGTTGTAGTTGTAGTTGTTGTTGTTGTTGTTGTTGCTGTTGCTGTTGTCGTCGAAGTTAGGGTAGTGAAGTTAGTTAAGTTAGTCAAGTTAGTTAAGTTAATCAGTGTCTACTTTTTCGACATCTTCACGTCAAAAAAGGCTCAAAACCCTCAGTTTTTTACACTTTTGACTTCGAAATGTGCTTCGCGCCACAACGGCGTGCACTTTTTCGACACTTTTTCGACATCTGAACCTCCAAAAGTGGTCCGACATTGGTGTGCTTTGTACATTTTGACTTGGAAATGTGCTTCGCGCCACAACGGCGTGCACGTTTTCGACATCTCAACTTCCAAAAGTGGTCCGAGACCGCCAGTTTTTTACACTTTTGACTTGGAAATGTGCTTTGCGCCACAACGGCGTGCACTTTTTCGACATCTCAACTTCCAAAAGTGGTCCGGACCTGGTGTGTTTTGTACATGTTGACTTCAAAATGTGCTTCGCGCCACAACGGCGTGCACTTTTTCGACATCTCAACTGCCAAAAGTGGTCCGGACCTGGTCTGTTTTGTACATTTTGACTTCGAAATGTGCTTCGCGCCACAACGGCGTGCACTTTTTCGACATCTTAACTTCCAAAAGTGGTCCGAGAATGGTGTGTTTTGTACATTTTGACTTCGAAATGTGCTTCGCGCCACAACGGCGTGCACTTTTTCGACATCTCAACTTCCAAAAGTGGGCGTGCACTTTTTCGACATCGCAACTTCCAAAAGTGGTCCGAACCTATCTATCTA